AGTTCCTCGTCCAATCTCGCGTGGTGCGCAGTCCTGAACATGCCCTAAAGTGACACCAACCACGGCGAGAGCTGCTTGTATTGTTCGAGGAACTAGGAGTTGTTGGCGGCGGCGCTCTGTTGGGGTGTGTGTTGTCTGTAGTGTGGTCAAGCGTTGTTGTGTTTTGTTTGGGTGTGGTCGCATTTGTGTTGAGTTGATCATGCGGACTCTGGTGTGCCGTGGAGTCAGCTCGGTTTGAGCAGTATGCGGCCACGAATGGCGTGGTTCATTGCCGGAGAGTCCTGAGACCTGGGCAGGATCCACCGTTGTAGGAGTTACACCTGACTGAGGTGGAGTTATGGTGTAATTGTCTCTGGGGCGCGCAGCGGTATAGGTTTCTGACCCAGGGTTTGACTCGATGCCAGCCCTGAGCAGAAGCGTGCGGAGCAGATACTGTCCCATGAGCGAACAATGTTTAAGAGATTTCGCCGATCTAAACAGGGCGAAGCCGGAGGTAAACGGGGACAAGACGAAGTATATCCCGTCATCAAACAAACAGTCAGCGCCTTGGCACCCGCCAGTTGACATTTATAATTTCGATAAGGTAGAGAATTTCTTTTACTTTGGAACCAGAATTAACACCGATAATAATGTTAGCATCAAAATCAAACGCAAAATCACTCTTGCCAACAAGTGCTACTTTGGATGGAGTAGGCAATTCAGAAGTCCTCTCTCGACGTACGAATATGGCGCAGTAGCATTGACAATGAGAACATCAGATGAGGCGGCTCTTGGAGTATTCGAGAGAAAGATTTTGCTGAAGATTTGCAGACCCTTACGCATTGGCGACGGCGAGTACCACAGACGATGTACCGATGAGCTTCAATGGCTTGGAACCCGTTGGTAGTAGCAGAGGAAGAGGGAGTCCGCCAATTGGAGAAGGACTTGGCTTCACTTAGAATTTCCACTTTGAAGTACAGTAAAAGTATTTACTATAATAAAAGTTTGATTTACAAAAAACACAGCTTCTCTTAAAAATACAATCGCCGTTCGGAATCGCGTAAAACTACAGGTCCCTTACCTTTGCGTGACAACAATGTCCGATGTATGCATCGGAGGAGAAATTCCGTCAAAGGCTAACATATTGTTCAACTAGACACACCACGTGAACTTTGATTTTGACCTTTGGCATGTACAAGCTGTGGATGGCGTGTTCAATATTCGCCTGTCGGTTACGGTCCATTAAGCAGAGAGCTTAGATAATCGAGAAAGTGCTAAAATGTGCAAAGCAAAAATTGTCGTCTGAAATAGATCCACTACAAAAATTACCACATACATTTTAAGTTATAATGTCCGTAACCGACCGAAAAGCGGTCGACGGTTAACCGCGGTCAAAATCAACACTCACAAAGCCATATGGATTCATGCCGATTATGATAATTTTTTATTATTTTCACAAGTTTGCCAATGTTTGCATCTACACCTTTTTCAGTTTTAGTTCAGAAAGCTGCAATTCATACTCAAAAATTCCATTTCAAATCAATCAGAATCAATTTCAGAATTTCCATTTCAAATTCAGAAAATTAAAATTCAAATGCAGAATTTCCAGTATGAATTCAGAAAGTTGCAATTCCAATTCAGAATTTCCATTTTAAATTCAGAAAAAAATTCTAATTCAGAAAATTTTGTATTTCAAATTTAGAAATTTCCAATTTCAGAACTACTAAAAATCCTATTGGAAGTAAAAAACCATCAAGCTAGGAAACGACCACATTGAAGAAATACTGCATTGGATTGAGAAGCAGTGCAGTCTTACACTCTGGCAAATACAGAAAACAGTTTTTATTTACATCCCAATAAACATTGTGGCGAACCTTCGAAAATGCCTTTCGATATCCAGTATGCATATCGAACTGAGAACGAACTCATAACCAACCTTTTTGAGATACGAATATGTCATATATTTTCCTAAAAATTCCTTAAAAAACACTTCTTTGCTAAAGATCGATTGTATATGTATATCAATTTTGAATAAATATTGATGAATTCCTTCGCCACACTGCTCAAAAAATCTGAAAGTCCGGTACATAAACAATATAAATTCATGGCCGTATTTAAGAAATGTCTTCGATCTTTGAAATCGAGTCAAAAATAGTCATTCAAAAACTCATAAATCTACCAAACCGTATTTTTTAACCTACCGTAAAACCGTATTTTTTAACCTAAATCGCGACCTCTAAATGACCTTTAAAATATCTATACAAATAGGCAATAACATTTCTCATAAAAACGAATAAAATTTTGGGCTAGTGTCTTGAAATTTCCAAAAAAAAAACCTTTTGGATGAGCAGCCTAATGCACATATTTGCGTATGCACATAAATAAATTTTTTTTGTACCTGCGTTTGGAAATATATTAAGGGAGTTCAAGATTTGTAGCATTTTAGATGTTTTTGTTATCCCATTTGCCCATAATGCGTGGTTTGGTTGAAATAAAATGCGCCATAAAGTTTGACGAATATTTGAGACCATGCTCTGACAGAACTGTTTGAAAGTGAGCAGTCAAATCCAAGGCATATTCAACAGGGTAGAAGTGACAATTCAGTCGAGCTCTCTCATACCTGACTGTAATGTCAAAAAATGTAAACAAAGAAATTAACCCTTTGTTATGCATTTACCATATTTGATAAAACTCAACATCTTTGAAATGAAAGTTTTTGTAAATATGAAAATATTTAAAATCTCATTAGAATCAGCTTCATTTTATTTATTGAATTTTCGATTTAATGTAAATATGGGAATGCATACTTACACAAAATTACACACTAAATCAAACACACACATTTATAAAACCGTTTTGACAATTTTCTTGCTTTTACTATCCCAATGTTTTTGAGCATTTATTTTTTTTATTGAAATACTTAATTCTAAAGTATATTAGTCATTAAAAAAGTTTGATTTTTCTAAATTTACATCAGAACTTAACTTCAATAATTTAGCTATTAAATTTTTGCTATTCGAAATTTCATTTCCATTAAATTTATTAAAAATTACTTTCAGTTTCTTTATGTCAACAAGGAATACTGGTTTAGGATTTATCAGACCACCATTTGAAATTTGGCCTATCCATGTATGTACATGAAAGGGAGATTTTCTTTTCATATTCGGTATGATAAATCCTGCACCTGGGACCAAACGCGTCCACTTAGAAATACTCGGCTGCGATGGGCAACAAATAAAGTCACGACCACACGTGAAGAGTCTTCTAATGAAACATCGCAGCAATTTGCCCACCGTTGCCGCTTCACTTGACAAATCGAATGTTTAAAATATCGCACAAGTTTGTTGTCCAGGCTCTTGACTAACACAACGCACCGCTCGCAATTCCTTTTCATTTTATTATGTATTTAAAATCAGTCGCACAGCTCACAATTGAAAATTTATATAAAAAAAAAATTTTTTGAATACTATAGGGTTAAGATTTGACATTTCAGTCGCAGTTCAAAAGAGAGAAATGTCGAAATCACTTCTACCTTGTTATGCCTTGGTCAAATCAACAGAACAGAAAAACCAAAAAACACTTTTCAGCTATCCTGGAGGTCTTGATATTGGCGCAGTAAAGCTAAGCGTCAAAAGTTAAAAAAAAATGCTTTCCTAGCACAGCAACAGCAGTTTTTTAGTGTATTTTTACTTTTTCAAACACTATAGTAGTTTAATTTTATTTGCCAAAAGATTAATTTTATTTGCCAGAAGGTTAAATTTATTTGCCAAAAGATTAAATTTATTTGCCAAAAGATTAATTTTATTTGTCAAAAGATTAAATTTATTTGCCAAAAGATTAAATTTTTTTGCCAAAAGATTAAATTTATTTGCCAAAAGATACATTTTATTTGGCAAAAGTTGAACTTAATGTGTCAATGCTATATATGGTGCTTGTTATATAATGAGCTAGATGTTAAATAAACAAAAGAAAAATATTCCAAATCGATCAAAATGTTGCTTAATTAGCTGATTACAAGTGCAGCTTTTAAGTACGTTTTATGAAATGAGTTAGTGAAATGAACAAACGCGTAAACGTAGTATACAATGCAAAATTTTATACAAACAAGACTAAAAGGTGGAAAAAATTTCAAAACTTTTTAATATACCAAGTTTCTATAAATGGACTAACAAGTAGAAAATAATCTTTCGTAAACCCATAGAATTTGTCCCGATAAGTTTTGATTTCAAAATCTTAGCAAAAGTCATTAAACTAACTGTGTTTTTTTTTACACGCATATAGTACATACACCTACGCTTAACGTGTAAAAAAAAACAATCATAGACAATTTCCATTTCAAAACAAGTCATTTTGATTTTATCGACAACTATTCATAAACGCACATAAAGTTTGTCGCTTAGAGCTCCATACAACTTTTAAGCTCAGATACGTACATATGCATGTAAAGAAAAGCACGCCGATTAAAAAGTTCTTTATTTGATTTTTTTTCATATTTATTTTAAAAAATTGAGAACATGTTAATGTTCCACCACAAAAATAAATTATTTTTAATTTCATACAGAACTCGGGGAAATGCAAAGTTTCAAGTCACTAAAAATTATCATTGATTTTCGAGAATTTTTTCGCCGAGGATGTTGGACATTTTCTTCCATATAGCGCATGAACCCAATCTTTTTAACCGACTTTACAAAAAGGAGAAGGTTATCAGTTCGTCGGAATATGTTTTTTTTTATGTATGTTACCGCATAACTTTGGACCACGTCAACCGATTTCGATAATTATTTTTCTATCGGAAAGGTAGTGTCTCACAGGTGGTCCCATACTATTCCCAAACAATTCCCAAGCACAAGTTTTTATAAAAAAAAAAAATCGTAACACTTCAGTAAATATTAATCTGCATATTAACTTAGTGTTAATAAAATATATCTTCTTTTCAAATTGCGCAGGCTCGAAATTTTTATTTAGAGCTATAGTCTAAAGGAAAAATCTCAGTTTTAAGCATTTTATTTTCTTGCACTCACCTGCGTATTATCTTCAAAATCATTCTGTAGTGACTCGTCAATATTAAGGAGGAAACTCAATGAATTATAGTAATACAGATTTGGTGGATATGGTCGTTTTGCCTGTCGACGAAAACTGGAACGGAGGGTATTAATCTTTTTCCGCATCTCGTATCTGTCGGCATCGGGATATCTTTCTTTATATTTTGCAAGCAAAATTTGGTATTGAATGTCTTTCAATTCTCGATCTTTGTAATCTTTGCTTTTTACGTCCCATAGTGCCGGTAAGGACTGATACAATTCAATAAACTCAATAATGAATTTCTTCTCATCTGCAACCGTTTCGAAGTTTTCGTCTTCCTCCTGGACATTGGCATTTTCTTGAAC